AGATTCTTAGAAGTATTTTTTTTTATTTTATTATGCTTAATTTGTTCTGCTTGTTTGTATATAAAGGATGGAGAAAACAAAAACAAGCAAGAAAGAATCAAAGAAGAGAAGATGTTCATCTAGATGATAATATAATTATAATAAAAACAAAAGGGGGAATATAGGAAGCTAAATTTCATACTAAATATTTGTAATAAAACAGAATGATACTTCAGGTTATGAGAGAGGCTGGTAGCAGCTGGAATTAATCCTGAAGCACTAAGGCAATCCTTAAGCGTTTGCAGGATTCTTGCATTGTATTTGCTAAACCCTCTCTCCTGAGTCAAGCAGAACGTTGTCAATAGAAAAAGCTTAGCTTCATCTGTACTGGATTCTCTTTGTCATTTACTCCCTGGCAATTTTCAATAAAGACAGGGAAGCTGGGGTCGGCGTTTCAGTTCGCTTCAGTTGTTCGAGAACTGTTCACCTCCTGCTTTACCTCTGTTTTTCTCCTAAAAAAAATTAAATTGCTATCAAGTTAATTTCAACTCATCATGATTTCATATATGTCGAGGTAGAATGCTCTCCATAGGATTTTTGGTGGATTTTTTTTTTTTAAGAAAAGTAGATATGCAATGCCTTCTTCCAAGGCACTTCTGAGTGAACTTGCACTTCTAATCTTTTCATTAGTAGCCAAGCACTTTAACTCTTTGTACTGCCGAGCAACTCTGTCTCAACAATGTAAAAAGCAAAAATGAATGCTTAATGTTTTACAAAACTCACATCTGTTGCTCTGTTTTAGATGCTATATAATCCAACATCAAGAGTTACATTTAAAAATAGATTGTGAAACTATCATGATTGTCACCCTAAAGTGTACAGTGGACTTCCACACATGCCTTAATGATATTTTTTCTTCAACATAACATTATAATTAAATATGAGATCCATTATTAAAGAACTTTTGGAAAATATGTTGTTCCAGTAAAGAATCACTGATGAGAACTTGTATGTGATTATTTTGTGCTCAAATTTTCAATTTTTGGTGAGTCAGAATCAACTTGACAACAAATGGATATAATTATTATTATTAATATTATCACTAGGCATTGATGGATAATAGGTAGATAAGCAATTGTGCTACCAACCAAAAGGCAAATGGTTCAAATACATCAGCTGATTCACAGATGAAAGATGGACAATTTTCTGTAGGAATTACCGCCACTGAAAACCGGCTGGAGGGTCCAGCTATGAGTTTGTTCTAACTCTCATTTCCTATGAAAATCTTCATAAACCAAAATGATGTAAAGTGAGGAAAGAATTACATAAATTTAAACAGTCTTTGAGTATTCATGCTGCTCTTGCTATTACGAGCCATTGAGTTGGAATCCATTCATACTTAACCCTCACCATCAAGTGGGGTAGCCTAGTCGTAAGAAGCGGCTCTACAATCCCACAGGCATGTGGTTTAAATCCACCAGCTGCTCTCAAGGATAAATATGAGCAATCTCCTCCCCTGTCATTAGCTGAGTCTGAATACCTGCTGGAGGGTCAGCTGTGGGTTGGTTGCAACTGGATGGTCCACAACAACAACTAGAGTAAGACATACCTGACCCAAGACAGGAAGTGCAACATCAAGAAAACAAAGATTCTCACCACTGGGCCAGTTGGCAGCACCATGATAGAAATTGAAATTGTTAACAATTTTGGCTTGCTTGGTTACACAACCAGCACGTTTGGCAACAGCAGTCAGAAAATAAAAAAAAAAAAATGAATTGCACTGGGAAAGTCTGCTCTCATGGACTTCTCGAGAGTACTGAGGAACAATAATGTCAATCTTGAGACTAAGGTACTCCTGATCCAGCCCATGATCTTAGTAATTCCTTGCTATGCATCAGATAGCTGGGCAATGACTAAGGAGACAGAAGAAGAATTGATGCCTTTGAGTTGTGGGTGGAGAAAAGTAATGAACATATGGTCTGTCAAAAGAACAAACAAATGTGTCTTGGAGATAATGAAACCAATCTGCTCTTTGAAGGCAAGGATTTTAAAATCCTTGGCTTATTTTGGGCATGTTGCCAGAAGGAACCAGTGCTTGGAGAAGGACATCATGCTTGGAAGAATGGAGAGACAGTACAGGAGAGGAAGACCCAGGATGAGATGGATTGACACAGTAACTGAAGTAGTGGGGGGTAGGTATGTCAGAGACAGTCAGACAGTCTCAGGATGGGGTCCCTATTGAGTCACAGTCAACTTGATGGCACATAACAGCAATGAATTACAATAGGAGGGGACTGGTCATCTTTCTCTTGCTGAGTACTTGTTGGATTGGTACCCAGTGCCTTATGAGTTGTCAGTACAACTTCTTATCACATTCTTGTTAAGTGCCCATGGAGTCAACTATGACTCTTAGCGACCCTATGAACAATGGACCTGAACCCAGCCATATTCTGTGCCATCCTCATAATTTCTGACACATTCTGGCCCACATGCACAGTCACACACACACAGCCTATCATTTCATACCAGATAACATATAAAACCTAAAATAACACCAGCAGAAATGATATAATAAATACACAATCCATAGAATAATGTATGTACAGTGTAGAAACTGGCTACCTATCCATTGTGGCTTACTTCCTATTGGCTCACCACAAAGCAAATCAGAGCAATAGTTTTTCTTTTCACCATTTTTCTGTAAAAGCAAACATTCTCTTTGGATTTCTTTTAGCTAGTATTAGTAAGTACTGCTTTTATTATTGTTTGCTGTGGAGTCAAAACTAACCCATAGCTGATTGCCCAAGAGATTTTCAGAGGCAGTGAAGTGCAGGGGAGATTGTCCTTCTTTTTCCCATGGAGCAGCTGGTGTATTCCACCACGTGTCTTTGGGATTGGAGCACAGCTTCTTACTGCTAGGCCACCAGAGCTCCCTTGTTGTTGTTATTTGCTGTGGAGTCAGAACTGACTTTCTAGTGGGTTTTCAAAGGCAGTTAATCACATGGAAGGAGACTGCCCAGTCTTATTCCGTGAAGCATTTGGTGAATTCAAACCAGGTGCCTCTGGACTGCTTTTTCCACTAGTCCACCAGAGCTCCCAATAGCTCCCTTAAAAAAAAGGTCTTTTGCAAAAATAAGGTGGTATAATGCAAAAGTTTGAAAGAGAGTGGTGCTTTGTATCTGTACATGAGCTAAAACTTCCTCATCTCACTCATTTTTGAGGCCCTTTCCATAAAGATCACCAAACTCAAAGCCATAGCTATTCAAACATAAAACTAAGGAAAGAAAATAAAGGATACTGGGCTGATTTAATCTAGTTTATTTAGAGTACTGTGCCTGTAGTGGAATTGTGTTTAACAAGTGTCCATTTTACCAGTTTGGATAACAGTTTACCTCTAGCATTTCAAAACGACCTGCTTGGCAGACTCAAGACCCTAAATTTTCCACCTGGGCTTCTGGTCTGTTTAGCTCATTCCGTGGGCCCCAGGGTGCAGGCCACACCTGAAAAGGGGGAGGGGAGTTTCGCCTCTGTAGTTAATTACCCAGGTACTTTCCATTCACTCAGTTGACAATTATAAAACAGAAAGACAAAGAGCACCTCTTACTTGTTTTTTAACTCCAAATATGGAGATGGAAACTATTAAAGAAAACAAGGAGGGGAATTCCCACATAGTTCACCTTAACCTGACTAGACTGGTGTGACTTGACAGGTATTGTCAAGAAGCCAGTCACCTATCTAGGAGCAGGGCGAGGCTGCTGAGGGAGAAACGGAAAGTGAGACAATTTCACCACAGAGAACCATCACTCAGAGTCTCAAAACCTTATCTGTCACCCTGGGAGCTGGGTTTCTTTCCTGGGTCTGGAGTGATAGTGAAGGGATTGAGGCTGCAGGAGCAAGGCTTCCAAAACAGCGGCTCTGCAAAAACCCTCACTCCAGACTATGCCTAAATTTCTGAACTGCAAGGGGGCAGACGTGTCCTTCCATCGCGTCCCTAGCCTTTCCTGCTTTCCTTGCGGTCTGTAGCGGCTTCGTTCCATTTATTGATAAGGTGACACTTAAGGTCGAAAAGCTTGGAGCCACCACTCAGACTCAGCGGAGATTAGCGCTCTGGAGCCTATAGGCACGAAGGGGTGAGAAGTTGCAAGAAGTTTCAGGCCAGCAACTCCGGGAATGGGATATGAGGGGAGACAATGGACAACCCCGGGTTGGGTCAGAAGGCGAGCTCCTAACTCTCCAAGCGAAGGGGAGTTTGCTTCCTGGGAGCAGGGAAAGGCCTCCATTGAGCTCGCTGCATTTGCAGAGCATTGAGTATCTCGGCGGAACAATGGAGCGCGCAGCGCAGGGCTGTGAGGTTGGAGAATGCGCGCTGCGGCAACGCGGGCTGAGTTAGTCTCCACACTCACAAGGAGAGCGTTAAGGGTTCAAGAATTGGGGGAGGAGGAGAAAGGGAACGCAGAGTGCAAATCGTTGTGCGCAGCTTCACATCAGGAGTTCTTGTGAACGATGGGAAAGGCAAGTAGCAGAGCCAAGGAGCGGGGGGAAGAGCTGGAGTGAGCAAAACAAAGAGCGAGTGTGGGCCGCGGTGACTTCATGCTTCACCAATGTCCCGCCCACGCTGCTCCGAGCTGGGGCTGCTTCTGCAGCCCCGGGCCGTGCCTGCCGGCCGCCCCGGCGAGGCGCTCGGTAGCGTGGGGCGGTTTCCTAGCAACTCTGGGCCCGGAGCGCAGCTCTTCTGCTTACAGAGACCCCCGGGGGCTGGCCGGGACCACACCTCCTCCGCCCAGCGCCAGCCTCCCCTTTTCTCGCCTTCTCGCTGGGTGCGCCCCAGAACGCGCCAGCTGCCCAGACTCTGGGTGGCGGGACGCCCGACCGCGCACCGGGGCCAGAAGGACGCGGGCACGCAGCCCCCGCTGGCCAGGCCGGGCTCCTGCTGCCGTCCCCCGGGTCCCCATCGCGCAGGGAGCTCGGATGTTCCGCGCTGTGCCCGCGGGCGCCGGTGGGCGCTGCTAGGGCGCTCCGAGGAGCCGCCTTCCCGGCTGCTGGCAGGCACCCCGAGCTTCCTCGCTCGCCAGCCTAGACTCTGCCGCCTTGCCTTTGCCTGCGGCTCCGCTGACGAGGCTGCAAAGCTGCAAACTCGGTAGCGCTGGCCTCCCTGCCCACCTGTGGAAGAAGCTCGCGCTGACTGATGCGCCATCGACTTTTTCCCCTCTTCGGCCTCGCCAGCGTCCCCTCCCACAGAAGCAGCATCACCCTGTGAATATACATTAGGGTGGTTTTTCCCCCCTCCAGCTTCGGGCTTTGTTTGGGTTTGATTGTGTTCGGCTCTGCGCCGAGCTGATTTATGCAGCAGAAGCCCCACCGGCTGAAAAGAAACAAAAGCTCTTTTCTTTGTCCGGGAGCGGGCTGCAGAGCCCTCGCTCGCGTCATCCCCGCGGGGTTGCGGCCGTCGGAGGAGGTGCTGCTGGCCAAGGCGGTGGGATCGGTGGTCCGAGCTGGGAGGGCCGTGGGGGCCCTGAGATGCCGAGCGGTGCACAGCCTCGCGGACCTGCACCCGTAGCTCTGACCCGCGGGGTCCCCCTGCCAGACCTGCGAGAAACGTCCTAGCGAGACGCGGCCCCCGACGTGCGCCTGCGAGACGCCGAGCGCGCGCCCCGAAAGCAACACGGCGGCGGGCGCGTTGCGAGCGACTGTACATTATGTGCGGCTGGGCCCTGGCTTTTTTTACCGCTGCATTTGTCTGCCTGCAAAACTGCCGGCGAGGTCCTCCTGCCCAGGCTCTCCGGGCGGCCTGGGTGCTTTCAGTTGTTCTTGGACTGAGCCAAAGTGGTAAGTTTTTGGTTTTGGTTTGGTTTTGGTTTTCCTTCACTTCCCCAAAGGTCACCAAGAGCTGCACCCGGGCCGGAGCATCCTGGCCAGGTGAAGTGGCAGCTAACTGGCTGCATCGGTCTCCAGAGAGGGTTCAAGGGATGAGTGTGTGGTAGTCGCAGGCGGTCCCAAGGTGTCAAGACTTTCTGCCCCAGAGTGACAACAATCAATAATCATAGAGGAAACGTTGACTGTCCCCTGGCTTATTAGGAACGCTGTAATAATGTGGGAGTTTGAAAAGAGAGATCTTATCTAGAGAAGTCAATGGAGGGATCCAGACTCATCTTTAAGGTTATTGCCAGTTCTGAACACGTTTCCAATCTTTCTAGTACTTGGGTCCACTATCATTAACTTGGGTTTCAGTCGAAGCCTCTAGATGAAGTACTTGAAAAGGAAGTTTTCCTTGTTTTTGTTAATCCCATGAAAAATTTAGGATACAGCATGCAAGTTTCCCCTCCCATCGTGCTTAGCTTGAATGAATTAAACACACGAGACATATACTTGCTTCAAATCATCTTCTGTTATGGGATGTAAAAACTTCCCTAATTAATTGGCCCTTCAATAAAATCATTCTCACAGATTATGAAGCAGTGTGAAATGTGCACCAAGACTGATTTTCCATGCAGGCAAACTGTTTCGTTTTGGGATTACAGTAGCTGTGCCTTTACAAACTTTATTATTCTCATCTGCAAAATGGGGACAATCATACCTCTCCTCCCTAAATTTTGCAGAAAGAAGCTAAAGTCAAACACTGTATGAAAAGGTGTTTGAGGAATTTGGGCTTATATGCAAACTCAAGGAGTAGCAGGTTTGTTAGCACAGGTAATTAGAATTACTTCTAACTGGTTTTCAATATAGGTCAAACATTTCTTTTTCTCAGTGTAGTGATTATCGCTATATACTTTAAAAAAGAAAAACCCAAAACACAAAGCCTCATGTGTATTTAAATTTTTTAGAACCTTTCTCTAGTTCTAGAAGAGTTTACTTAATAATTGTACTTGTTTTGTAGACTGAAATTTACCCTTTCGTTTTGAAGTAATATGCCAAGTTTCAGCCTGAAGCTAATTATACAACTGTCAAATAATCCAGAAGAGTTATGATGGTAAACACCAAGCTAGCTTAATATATAATTAATTATTATATATGCTTAATTATTACATATATAAATGTCTTAATATTTGTTTCAGGGAGATTTACCTACTTATATGAAACCAGGGCAATTAGAGCAAACTTTTATGTTGTGGTTATTTTGGGCTTGCATGTAGATTTCAAGATAAGTGGCACAGAGATAGGTAAAGGAAAAAAAGTAACTTTCACTATCAGTTGACTCTTAAATGGAACATGTATTTATTGCAACAGATTTTTCCATACAGCATAATTCTATTCTGTATATTGCTTTAATGATGAAGTCTTTTTCTAGATTTAGTAAACATAAGCATGTAACAGTAAACTCATGCCATATCAATGGCTATATTTTGTCCTCAACAGGTAGGCAAAGGAGGAGAAAGGGCCTCTTTACCTCTAGAATTTGATAGTAGTAATCATAATTTTTTTTAAAAGTGTGCTTTGTAAATAGCAGTCCATCTTTTTTGCAAGAGCATTGTGTCCTTTTCAAGTGAACACAGCTGATTTGAAGCAGATACTATGAATGGGCCCCCTTGCACCTGCACTTGTGAAAAGGGGTTCCTTATCTGAAATCAGAACAAGGCATCTTTTTCCAAGTCTCTGTCACTGTGCAAAGATTTTTGGTGGTTCTGGTTTGCACTGCCGTTAAAAACATGCAAAAAATGTAAATTATAGCCAGTACAACTTAGAAAATTAGAGATCAGCATAGACTCTTGTACTTTTGTGATACAGCTACAAGTCTCAAATTATACGTCTGCACAGTGCAAATTAGATGGTTAAATCAGAATAGAGACGTAGGTTTCGGTTACAAAGGCAATCTTGTTCTCTTGCTCAGTAGTTTACACCAAGGAGATGTTGAGGGCAATAAAGCCTGTACAGAAGGAGCCTCAGAGTGCACAGAGACGACATGACTTGAATTCTGTAGTAGGAATTATAGGCCTCAAATATACAGTGGATCATTAATAATGGAGGTGTACTGAGCAAAGAGTTGCTATTAATAACTTTGTTCTGTAGAAACAAAACCTTACGGAGTTTGCTTGTCAATTTTCCCTGGTAGAAATTACTGCCAATGAGAGAAACAATAACACTATAAAATGGTTAATGTATAACTGGAAAACACCAAAGAATACTTAGCTAGCTTACATATAAAGAGTTAGTACAATAAAACTATTAAAAAAAAAAAACCCCAAAAAACAATTTCCATGTTAATTATATTGAAAGAAAAACCTTTGTTAAATAAATTGTCATACAGAAATAGAAGCCTGATTAACATTTCTTTATAAAAGTGTTGGGTTGTTGGGTTTTTTTTTTTAGTTCATCTTTTCTGCTTAGAAACTTTAATTCTTTCAACTAACAGTCATATGAATTCGCACTGTTCTTGTCTTTAGCATTCCTTTACCTCAAAACTGACTTCAGCGAATAGAATGCATAAACACAATATAACTTTGAGTTTAGTTTTGGAAATTGGATTTATCAGCTCTCTTCTAAATGTTTGTGTCTTCACCTAAAGTGAAAAGTTATTTAAAAGAACCACGACATCATTTTTTAAAATCTCTGAAATTCTTTGTCTGTATTGTTGTTGTTGTTAAGTGCCCTCTAGTCGCAGGCGACTCATAGTGACCCTTTGAAGAAGAGTCCTCGACCTTGGGTGCCTTTCATCCTCTCTCCAGGTTCATAGGGTTTCCGGAGGCAGCTATTATGGAAGTGGATGCCACTCCTCATTCCAACTTCGTCTGTATAGAGAACCATATTAATTCTGTCTTAAAGCAACTGAGACATGTTCCCTTTATTTTACAAGTTATCTGTCTGTTCTTACACTGTATGTGGAAATCAGGTATATGTAACTGGTATGATTTGGAAAACTCTAGAGCTGAAAATCCTTTACATGTTACCAAGTTTTCTGAAACTTTACCTTTTCATGGATCCCTTTGAGGTAAGCACAACTTTGATCATATGCTTAGTTTGCTTTAACTTCAAATTATGAAAATTTCAAAACATATCCAGAAGCAAAGTGAATAGTATAAAGAGTGGCCATATACCAATCACTCAACTTTGTCAACCATCAATTTGTGGTCAAGTACCTTTCATTTCTGCTCTTACCATATTCCTTTCTTTTCCACAACTAGATTGTTTTCAAGTATATCCAACATGACATTTAATCCTAAAGGGTTTCAAGGAATAGAAATAGTACTGAAGGGAAAACAAGCTGTTATTAATCCCACATGCATATTTCCATTTGCTAACTTTTGGTTAATTTTGTTGTTCACTGTTGTTGGGTTGCCTCTGACTCATGACGACCTTATGTACAACAGAACTCAATCTTGTGCCATCTACATCATCCTGAAACCTTTTTTTCCAGTTGGCCATACTGCAAACTTGTGTTACTGTGATGCTAGCAGCTATGCTCCTACTGTTGTTATTGCTGCTCATTGCTATCATGTTGGGACAGATGCAGAGCAATCCTGCAGTGAGATTTTTGGAGGCTGAAAACTGCATGGGTGGAGATTACTCCTTATTTTCCTGTAGGGCCACAAGTGGATTTGAACCACCAGAGAGCCCCCACTAGGTTAGCAGCCCAACTCATACAAGACTATGAACCCAGAATCCCTAGGAGCTATGCAAACAGGACTTAAAATACAAGCATGGTCATTCATGGTGGACAGGTTTCCAGCATACAGGTCTCACTCTGGATGATCAAGAGATAAATTGAGAAGATGGGCAGCATGAAAAGACATACAGCTTCAGGATTAGAGGAAGATTCATCAACTACCTGTGTTACGTAGATGACATAAACTTAATTCAGAAAATGAAGACTTAAAACAAAATCCACACTCCTGGAGTAATAGGCAAAATCATGTTAGAGGGAGAAGATAGTGAGGTTGCCTCAGGTTTCATTTTACTTGGATCCAATATCAGCCTCAATGATAGCAGTGGTCAAGAATATAAAGATGTATTGCTTGGGGCAAATCTGTCATCAAGGATTCTCCAAAGTGTTAAAGAGCAAGGATATATTAGTTTAAAGACTCAGGTTTGCCTGACTCAGGTCAAGGCATTTTCAATTACCTCATGTGAGTGTGAACATTGGATAGAGAAATTTGGGCCAAAGAAGAATGAATGTCTTTGAATTGTGGTATTGGTGAAGAGTATTGACTATGCCATGAACAGCCAAAAGATAAAACAAATCTGTCTTGGAGGAAGCACAATTCATTTGCTCATTGGAGGCAAGAGTGGTAAAACTTGATCTCACATACATGTAGCCAGGAGGCACCAATTCTTGGAATAGGTTATTGTGCTTGGAAGAATATAGAGTGAAAAAGAGAATTGCTTTTATTGAGCTAGATTGACACAATCACTGTAACAATGGCTTTGAAGATAGTAGAGATAGTGAGCTCTGATAGCCTAGAGGCAAGATGCTGCATTGCAATTCCAAAGACACATGGTTCGAGGCTATCAGCTGCTCCATGGGAGAAGGATGTACAGTCTCCTCCTGTGTGATTAACTGCCTCTAAAAACCCACCAGTGAGTCAGCTATGAGTCTGTTCCAACTCTACAGAGATAGGATAATGTAGAATGTGAAGATAATGTAATGTGAGGATAATGTTGTTATGTACCATTGAGTTGTCTGTGACCCATTGCAACACTATGTACAGCAGCTCTGAAGCCTGCCTTGTCCTGAGCCAGTCTCACTAATCTGACAAACCAACCCCAATTGCTATACTGTATCAATCCATCTCATGTGGGCTCTTCCTCTCCCTGTACTATTCCTCCACCCTTCTGAGCATGATGACCTTCTCCAAGGACCAGTTTTTCCTGGCCACATGCCCAGAGTATATAAG